AGAGAGAGAGAGAGAGAGAGAGAGAGAGAGAGAGAGAGAGAGAGAGGTTAGTGGTATCTTTGTCGTATGAACCTCTCACCGAATAGCAGCGCGCTTACTCACAAATCCTTCCAGTCGCGGCTTCTTGGGAGCTGCCGCTCCGAAGCTCTGAGATCCCCGCCACTGACTAGCACCGCCTCCGATGCTATCGGAAAACTCCGCAAAAATTATGTGCGACCCCCCGTCCTCTACCTGCCAATCCTCCACTAGCACAATATGATTACCGATCGCGACAATAGCCCACTATAGAAGAAAGTTTGAGGCTCAAGTGCATGACTTTCTTCTTGTGCTATAGAGATGCCGATGCCTAAGACGGTCAGAGGAGAGAGAGAGTGAGAAAGAGAGAGAAATCGACAGAGAGTTAGTAAGAGAGAAATGTGGGGGCTGGCGTGCGTCCTACCACGCAGATCGCCGCAAGGGTTCCCAGGGCACGTGGGAAATGCACAGAAGTCACTGTCAGTCGGCCCCTTCTTAGGTTGATTGCACTTGAACTCCTACCTATGGTTGCGCTGGCTACGCCTCCTTAAAGGCTCGCAACATCGTTGCCCCGCCTTTAGTCTCTTGACTTAGGCCTGATTGGTTGAAGTGCGCGCCACTCGATACGACTCCATGAACGAGTCACTGATCTATCTGCTTTTCGTATGTTCACCCTTTTTTCCGCCAAGACTAGCAACCACAAGCGCCGGCCAATTTTTATTTTTTTTCAATTATTTTCGACTGCACCCAAATATGATTTGAAATTTCCCATGCTGAGGCCTTACGATTGTTATATCCTTTTCTTCGACATTTTGCTTTTCCCTCCGCTTATTCCCTTCTACTTTTTATTTTTCACTTTCCTCTTGTATCTTATTTTAGCGCTCATCACATTGTCATACTACTGTAATTCAACGTTTTATTATTCAATATTGTACATATATACAAATGATGATCATGGTTCGCAATTACAATCATGTATTAGTTACTAGCTAAGTTTTCTGTACAAATATCCTATTAATTATTATTTAATTATATGGAATAAAACGCTTTGTAAAAATTGCACATTATTAAGTGAAATCAGATATATATTAAGCTTATTTATTTATTAAGTTTATTTAAATATGAATTAAGTATATTATGTTATTTAATATTTTAAATGTGGTTTTTCTAAAACTTTAAACGAATTCATTTTTACATTAATATATTCTTTGTTCGAATTTTTTATTCACTTTTGCTACCATATATTAATTTCTTTCAGTCTAAATATTGTAATAATTACCGTATATGAACAAATTTTAATATATAATAAGTAATACACATTCATTCAGTTATTCAATAATTATTGGTAAAGTAAATTCTTATATTAAAAAAAATTAATAATAAAAGCTTAAACGTGAAAAATGTGTTACATAAGTGTACATTTAAGAAAAATTTAGATAATATTAAAAAATTGAATATATATTAAGACAATTCTAATAGATTAAAATAATTATCCATTAACAATGTTGCTTTGTTTGATTATTATTTTAATTGAAAATATACAATAAAATAAATGACTTACTATAATTTTATTTTTTATATTTAAAACTCAAATTTTGTTATAATTATTTGTTAATTTTATTACATAATAAATTAATTTATTTATTCAATAAATTTTGAAAAAATAATATTTATTCATTTAATAAATATATAACTTATATGATAAATTTGTTGGTAATAAAATACTATCATTATATAAAATATTCTTCAAAATGATTTATGTAATTTTTTAAATTCTATATTAATCTAGTATTAAAATTGAAACAATATAGAATCAGATATACAATTAGAAGCTGTCAATAGGTCACTACTCTGCTCTTGTTGTACAAGTTTTTCAAAAAAGTAATAATTGCAATTTACAGATTAAGATCTAATGTAGATTTATTGATGATTCTTAGTAATGTATGCATATTTATTTGAATATAATGCAATGATCAAATAAATTACTATAATATTTTATTTTTAATACATTTTTAAAATGTTAGTACTTTCTTACATTATTTCTCTGAAATTCCTATAAATGTAAAAAGAATATATGACTTGCTTTGAACAGTTTAACAATATTACATTTATGCTATTAAATGACTTAAATCTTATTTATCACTTAAATTAAAATAATATTTATATAAATATTGTATATCAGAAGTGAAGGAAATATGCATAAATTAATTTAAAAAATAACTAAAATATTTTTCATGATAAAAAAATTTATTCTAAATTAACAAATATTTTGAATAAAAGAATGATAAATAAAAAATGTGTTTTTGTAAACTGTTGAAAGAAGACATATAAAAATCTATAAAGATGTAGAACGTTACTAACGGAGCTGATAGGCTGAATCAAATAAATTAAAAATTTTATAGATGATTAAGATAAACGCAAGTTGACGCTCAATACATCTAATATTCCTAAAACGATTCTTCTATACTATATTATCATTGCAGTTCAGTGTGACCATGTTTACGTTAGGCTTTTGTTGCATAATAGATGTTGCTATTAGTCTAGTATCTTTGTAGACTGAAATATAGGATTACCAATTATGATTGAAATAGATTCTTCTATGTATCATATTCAATATTAATTTATAAAGTTTTATATTATTGTCAAGAGTATACAAAATGATATCCAACTTTTTTAGTATACTTTTATATATTGGAATTAATGATGAAATAATATAAATACATATTTTTAAATTATGAATTAATGCTTTAATATATACGTATTTGAATATTTGGCCATTATTTTTACTAAGTATATGAATGTGTTAAGCATTATAATAATCTATACATAACATTTATGTGAATATAGTTTATAGAATATCTTCTAGTAGCTCTTGATGTCTTTTACGGCTCTTATTGATTAATCATTTTCCTCGACTATTTCTTAAAAAAATGTTATATTGAAATTCTTAATTAGTTTATATTTTAAACACCGTAATTATATCTTACTAGGTTTTATTTACATATTATATTTATAAAATTTGAAAGTGATAATATAGATATTTCTAAAGTAAATGTACTTTGTATCCTATTTTTATTTTCATTATATGCGATATTTAGCATCGGTATAGCAAAGAAAATATTAAAATTTAATATGAAGCAAAATTGTTATTGTGATAAATATAAATCTGCAAGTTGAAATTGTTTTATAATCATCAGTATTCCTATTGAATTTAAGACTTCAATTATTTATAAAAGAAATATTAAATTTTTAGAACTAAATAAGTTAACAAATAAATCGATAGAGGTATAATTTGTATGAACTAAAAATTTAACAAAAAATATTGAATTTTTTTTTCTTGAAAAATATTTTTGTATTAGTAATGTACTGCACAGTTTTAGTGAAATAAATTTTGACGGTTTATTTATCAAATAAAATATTTTTTATATGCCAGAAATATTAAGTAAAGTTTCAATCTGAGGGTAAAATTATACTTTATGCAACATTCTGTGATAAATTATATAACTTTTTACTTTATTATTTATGTTATCAACAATTTATTTAGCATTCTTCATATTTACAACAAACGAAAAATATTTCTTTCAATATCGCTGATAAAAGAAATCTAAAAGCGACTTTGCCAATACGTAGTAATGTATATTTAATTTTCGAAATGCATTGATACATATAGAAAAAATTAAATAAAAAAGTCTAATTAATAAACAATAATCATAATGAATTTGTTGATGAGAATGTCTATGCACAAGTTTAACTTTAGAACCTGACGGTGAAATGGTATCAGCAACATATAATGACAATGATTTGAGAGGTGATATAAAAAAGTTGATAGAATATGTGACTAACATGAAAATAAAATAGGAAAAAATACAAGAAGACTAAGTCGATAAGAAACAGTGGAAGAATAAGAATGAAAAGAAATCGAAGAAGCAGGAAAGTCGGAGAAGAAAGAATAGGCAATATAAAAGAATAATAAGAAGCGCAAGGCGAAGTTGAAAAGTTACGAAACTAATGAAAAGTTTGTAATTACGATAATGAACTCTTCTTTCGTTGCATCTATCGAAATTGTCTCTGGAAAGTTATCTTCTAAAATTTTTAGTGGGTATACAACCATTATTATCCTCTGATTAATCATTGATTCGTCGTTGTTACAACAAGAGCTGAGTAAAAATATTACTAATAGTACGATGAATATTTGATAATTTTTAGTGTTGGTTATGTTGAACAACTTGCAAATGTTGACTCAATCATAAATATGTCAATATACGCAAATTATTACAAAATTTATGGCTATGAACGTTTTGCTGGCTGTCGAATTTGTAATTATTTATGCTCTAAGACGTCAGGTATTTTATTAAAATTTCTAAATAACTAAATCAAGCGACCTAAAGAAACACGGAAACAGAGAAACAGATAGCAAATGAGAAAGTGAACCAAACTTATGTTCTCTTATCTCTTTTTCTTCTCTCTCTCTTTCTTTCACTTTCACCCTTTTTTGCGCTCTCTTCGAAGGACTTAGGTAGTTTACTTAGGGGACCTCCCGTGTAGTAAAGGTTCGATGCAAGCACTGTCCAGTCGTCCCATCATGAAGAATCGTTCGAATCGTCATTATTAATGAGCCTCACAGGGACACTCTTTTAAAAGCTATATTGTCGAATACTAGTACGCATGTGTATTCCTTCCTTTTTTCTCGGAGAGCAA